TTGGAGCATCACTTACAATTCAGGGAAGAATCCAAGAAGTTCTTTTTATAAGGTTAAGTCTATCATTTTTGGAATAATTGCTATTAATTCCCCCCCCCCCCAAATAGCACAAGCTCTTTGCCATGGTTCATTGTCTTCCCATAACTTTTTTATTTCATCAGTAGTAAAAGGCACTATAATCTCTGCTGGGTCTATACCTGCTAATTGATGAAGTCTCAATTTACCTTTTATAATTAATTCAGTGATTTTTCCACATAAGTTTTTAATTTTTTACTTGGTTTATGTGGTAAAAAGATCCATTCTAAGCCGGGCAGTGGTGGCAACACGCCTTTAATATTCCAGCACTTGGGAGGCAGAGGCAGGCAGATCTCTGTGAGTTTGAGGCCAACCTGGTCTACAAGAGCCAGTTCCAGAACAGGTCCCAAAGCTACAAAGAAACCCTTGAGACCTTTGTCTCAAACAAAACAAAACAAAAAAAGGATCAATTCTAAGACAATATCCACCCTCTGCACTAAAATTCCTGTAGGAAAAATTCTGGATCCCTGCTGCCTGTGACCCCAGGGGTGCACACAGTCCACAACTCACACTGATGGAAAACTCAGGGTTTTCTCTTTATCCTGGGCGCCACCTCTCAGAATCGTTTGATTGCCTTAATAACTGCTCTTAATATGTTAAACAAAGCGTAGTTTTCAGTACCTAAGTAAGCAGCATGTGCTGTTCACTGCTGCTAGCACCTCTCGGCCATGTGCCTGCAACTGCGACACCTGCTGGCCACTAACAATTATTACACCTCCAATTCATTGTTGTAGTGCCTTACAACAGGTACTATCTGAAACACTACAAAAATCACTGGTAGCATAACTATCCAGGAATTTAATAAATATTTTCCTTATACTATAGAAGGTATTCTGCAAGGCTTGTGTGATTTTCCTTCTACATCCTTTTATTTGATTCTAGGAATTAGTTTTGTTTTCAATATTATCTCATTAAAAATGGTTCAATAACAGGGCCAAGAACGAGGCACTTTACAGACTAATAATGGACAGGTATTTGAGAACATCAATACTTTGGAGAGGGATAGCATCAATTTGACAGAATTATCTGAAAGAGTTTGTGGTGTTGAATTTAACAATTGGAATCTGTTGAAAAGTTATCATAGATAAATTGATAAGATATCTCTTTAGGAAGGTAATATTCACATAATCAAAGTACATCCAAGGATGAGACATTATATTTACTGGACAAGGTTCATACCATGAACTCCTCAGCGAGGACATTAGAACAGAACACTGGACAGGAGTTGCGGCCTTTACAAAAGGCAGTAGTAAAAATATTTGAAAAGATTGAGCAATTTATTGAAATTAGTGAGCAAGGACAGAAGATGCAAGGACAGGATTTAGCCTCATCAGTACAGGCCAGACTTTGGGGGGTGACTTACCCAGAGTTTTAATTGTATAGCCAGTAATTGCCTCAGAAAGACTATTTGGTACAAAGTACTGTAAGGTAGTCAAAGAATATTCATGGGAACCAATGCGCATGAACAATCTAAAAGAATTAAAACAAGCAATAGTTTTTATGGGCTACATGCACCTTTTGTTAGGGAAACGGTGAAAATGTGGGCTTCAAGCACAAAGGCTACCCTACATGATTGACTTCAATTAATCTTAGTGGTCCTAGAAGATGGACCTCAGCTGCTTTGGAAGTGTCATTAGAGAGAGGAGAGGAAAAAATTGGAATTTTAGACACAAAAGAACAGAGTGAAGCATGGCTTTTGGTAGCCACAGTTTTTTTCCTACATACGCCCACAGCGAGCAGGTGCGCTGCAGCTGCTTTAAGAGAGGTGCAGTAAAAACTGCACGGCTTCTTTAAAGAACAATGGCTTCCTGGTTCACCAACACAAATGGCTCTGACTCTTTCAGGAGGTCTGGCTATGGAGCATTTAAATGGGGTTTGTGAATAGAGTGCTACAACTGCTTCATGGTAACATAGACCCACTGTGTGCCTATAAAAGGGGCAATGTATATAGACCCACTGTGTGCCTATAAAAGGGGCAATGTATATAGCTCTGAGGCAGTGAACAGCTCCACCATGCTGGGTGGGGCAAGCAGGCAGTGACATGTTGGCCCTAGGCATGCCTACTTAGCAATTTAAAAAAAGGCACTTCTGGTCAGAAAATAATTACAGATACACAATAGGACAGATTCAGACAAGAAAGAACTCAAAATGAGACACAGTGTGTTTTTAAAATGTACATATGCTTGGGAGAGAGAAGAAAAAGAGTAAAGAGATAGTAGATTTAATATAAAAGAGCACAGACAATCATAGATTAAAGGAATAGAGATAATAAAATAAATATGAAACTTGTAGAAAAAGTAACAGAGTAAGAAAAATAAGCCATGTAAAGATGTAATATACATAGAGAGTATGAATTATGTATATTATTGTGTTTCCCTTAAATAATTTGACTATTAAAGAGCTACATAATGAATGACATTTCCTTGTATGGACTGCTAAGTTAAACCAACATAAGGGTATCTTGACTTCAGAATTTGGGTTTAAGGATTTGTTGCATTGGAAAGAGGATCTGCTTTTGTTTCCACAGAAGAACCTGTGAATTAATTCCAGACTAATGTGGTTTGATGGACCAAGAACCACCAAATGGTTGCTGTGAACACTCCCAAAAATACTTCTCCCAACATAAAGCAGGAAGCAGTTTGCAGAAAACTATGCCTAAATTCCCAAATATTGTTTATAAATCTTTGTTTACATTTAATGGGGGGATATGCTATAGATATGAATAATTTGTGTTGGTATGGATTTTGATCTGTTGATACATATTTTAGGCCAATTTTGTTCTGTGTGTATTTCTGTTCTTGATTAAGGTATTGTGTATGTCAGAAGAGATCATCTGATCCCCGGGAGATGGAGTTAGGGATGGTTGTGAGCCACTGTGTGGGTGCTATCCATCAAACCCAGATCATTTGCAAAAGTAACAAAGCTCTTAATGTCTGTGTCACCTCTCCAGCTCTGTGCTTTTCCTTTTGGTTGAGTGTAAACAGAATACAGAGAAAGCCAGAAGATATACAGCAAAACATCATCAAATTGATGTTTAAGACCTCTTCCAGTAGAAACCACCTGAGAAATCCCTGTTAAAATACCGTATTGGAGCGACTGATTGAGAGATTTTTTTAGTCAGAGCCTGCGTCTTCCCTGCCAATGAGCATCCCATTAGCTGTCTCCACTGTAGGCATCTTAATAACATGAGATAAGAATAGTGACCGCTGTTGGCAACAGTTTGCTCCTTAGCTGTTCTCAAGGACACGGGGTTTATCCTGGAGCTGTTCTCCACACCTTTCTCCTTGTGGCAGAGTCAGGAAGCTGTTCTGACCCAGGGCAGAGGTTTTGGAGGACACTTTGAGATGGACATGCTTGGCTCGGACGTGGGAGGACCCAATCCCATCTCCAGAGTCAGCTTCTCAGTGAGATCCAATGGAACCTGGCAATTAACCAGTATAACCTATCCCTTTGCCAAAGCAAAGACAGTTAGAGCTTACTTTTCAAAGACTCAGAGGAGAGAGATGGAATTCTATGGTGCTACTGAGCTCAGTGATGCTCAAGGGGACCCAAAGTGTCTGTCCTTATCATTTTTGTAGAGTCTTCTGGATGAGTCTTATCTGGTGACTCATGCTTTGGAACTGCCAATTGACAAAAAGCATTCTTCCTCTTTAGAGTGTTCGGATTGGGAACATTCAAGCAGCAAGTAAGTCCTGTGCCCACTTCAGTTAGCTACGCCTATGAAATCAGACAATCTGAAAACTTAACAGCTAGCTACCCTCTTTTTTACAAAGAGATCAAGATTTAGGATAATATAACCTTTGGTTGGTAATTTCCCTTAAAGGCCACTTTTCAACCTATAGTCTAACTTTAGGCCAAGCTGGAGTACACAAAGCATCAAATATTTTTTTTTCTTTTAGGTCTGGTTCTTAATACAGGTTAGGGTACCTGCCTTTATCCGCCCCTTCTGTCAGCACTGGAAGGATTGGCCTGCTGGGGACGAGTGGCTTCTTTTCCCTCATTAGTGATGATAAAGAAGGGAGAAGACTGTAATGTCTTCTGACCTTAAATTCTGCATTCCTACTCCCTGACCCGGATCTGGATGCCCCCACTACATCCCTTGCCGGTCGCCGAGCTCACCTGGTATACGGATGGGAGCAGCTTTACACATGATGGCAAGAGGTACGCGGGAGTGGCCGCGGTGACACAAGAAGACACTACGTGGGCAACAGCTGGGTCATCGGCTCAAAAAGCCAAACTGATAGCCTTGACTAAGGCACTGTGAGATGGCAAAAGGAAAGAGGTTAAATGTGTGTACGGACAGCTGCTATGCCTTGGAAACAGCCCATGTCCTTGGGGCCATTTACCAGGAGCGCCGATTCCTTACTGCTGAAGGAAAAACTATCAAAAACAAACAGGAGATTTTAGACTTACTGGCAGCAACATGGCTGCCAACCAAATTGGTCATTATTCACTGTCCTGGGCATCAAGAGCTGATACCCCAATGGCTAGAGGGAACCAGAGGGCAGATCGAGTGGCAAAAGAAGCCGCAGAGCAGATGGCTGTCCTGGCCCTGACGTTACCTGACCCAGGACCGCCTAACCTTCCCGGAGGATCCAGCATATACTCCTTCCGACTTACAGCATTTACCAAGAGCATGGCAGTCACAACAGCCAGCGAACTGGTGAATGACCGGAAATGGAAGACTCATCTTGCCAGGAAAGCTGGCAGAAACTCTCCTTTGTCAGGTTCACTGTTCTACCCACCTTGGTACCCGAAAACCAGAAGACCTAATAAGGCAGTCTCATTGAAAAAATCTTTGACCTTCGGCACAAGATTGAACAAATAACTGAGAAATGTCTGGCCTGCCGACTCACCAATGCAGACAATCAATCAAAAAATCCTGGAAACAGATTTAGAAACACCAAACCTGGTTTCCACTGGGAGACAGACTTCACGGAGGTAAAACCTGGCAAAGACGGTTACAAATATCTTTTAGTATTTAGAGATTCTTTCTCTGGATGGTCAGAGGCCTTTCCAACTGAAAGACTCCCGAGGGCGTCTTCCTTCGGGAGAGACCCCGCGCCCAAAGATCAGTCGAAAACACGCAGCCGGATGCAAACTGCAAGAGGTTTATTGGATATGCAGTTACCTGGGGCGACAAAGTCTCTCGGAGGACTTGCGCGCCGCAGGTTGGGGGTGAGGGGTTCTTATAGGAGAGCAAAAAGCGAGGTTTACAGAAGCAAGATGCAGGGTGGTAAATTCTTAACCTAAATAACAATGAGGGGACTACTCAGCGGTTTACTGTTCCTCTTATCCTGTCCCCCTTCCCTGGCTGGCGACCAGATGTCTGATTGCACAGTCCCTGACTCGTGACGAGCCCCGCTTTATACGTGACTCAGGCCTCGCAATCCTTTCTTTCTTTGTTTCTATGGCCAGTCCATAAATCCCCTGTCTTGCAGCCAGATAAGGCTGTCCTTGCTCTAACCTCAGGTATCTTTGCTCAGCATTCCGGAGGCCCTGAGCTTGTTATTTGTTCAGCATTCCGGAGGCCCTGAGCTTGTTATTTGTTCAGCATTCCGGAGGCCCTGAGCTTGTTATTTGTGAACCTTTGCAAAACGGTATAACTGTGGCTAAAACGAGTTGGGGTCCTTCACAACCACACATGAAACTGCCCAGACAGTCACCAAAAAGCTACACCTTGAAAGACCCCCAATTTGGGGAGACTCTCACTCAAGCCCTGGGATGACATGACACCTTCCCCCCACCCCCCCAGTAACTCACAAGAGACCGTCCTTGCTGCAATCACACGAAGTTTTAATCGATGAGACGAAAACCAGTGCACTGGGGCCGAGACTCAGAACCCATGCAGGGGAAGAGTTCGACCCCGAGTGATCGGGAGAAGTAGTTTTTATAGGAAGAAACCACACAGCCCAGTAATCCGAAAGGGGGGCAGGGAGAGTGTCACAGAAAATTTCAAAAATTCCAGTGAAGATTACAAGGGGGCAACTCCCTGCCTCTCAAGATCATTCTCAAGGTCATAATCAGCTAGTTCCTATTCTAAAAATACCAATGATAATTACTAGGGGGAAATTCCCTGTTTCTCAAGATTACAATCTACCTTTATCTTCAGCTAGTTCCTGAAACCGGCTAATCCTAGATTTCTGATTCTTCTCTCCTGCTAGATTTTTGACTCTATTTTCCTGCTTGGGGGGGGGGGGTCTTGGATTTATCCAGGTCTTTCAACCTCAGTCTC